GGGCTCCGGAGGAGTTCTCACCTACATCGTCCACATGGGACGACTCGGGAACTCAACTCCTACCCCGGGCAGCTCACCTATCCCCTTATGCCCAGGGGAAGGGTATCAAGCCGTTTGACAGCTGATGCTGGCTGTCAAAACGGCTTTTACGCTAAAACAGGCGGGAGGCAGCAAACAGCTGCGTCCGACGAGGTCGCCTTCCACCGGAAGTCTCTTTTCTTTTTTATCCCCATTGTGTTTCCTGGCTATGTATACCTTTATTATCCTTGTCCCTGTATCATCTTTGCTAAACATTTTAATCTATTTTAATCTTCCCAGAGCAGAAAAAATAATTTCTTTCCTACTGCTAATCGTTGTTTGGCATCTTTGCTTCTGTTTTAGTCCAGCTGTTTAGTTATTTTGCTTTAAATTGTAAACAACTTATTTCAAGATTCTATGCTGTGAATGAATTCAATGTGATTTTGACAAAATATTTGCATATTCCCTGTAAGGTTTTGGAAGTAAAATCTTGGAGTGCTTCAGGGAGGGATGAGAGGATCAGATGTTTGATAAAGGAAAACAAAATGAAGACTGTTTACATTGAAAAGATTCTATTTTCTCTTTAATTCTGGGAAATGTAGCAAAAAACAGGACTGGAAGTGCAATTAATGTACCGTGTACCGTACTTATGTACCGTACTTATTGTGGACATTGTAGTTCATTTGAATGTACTCCAAGTGAAATTTTGGGATTCCAGTTCCTTTTGGTGTTATAAGGCAAAGCAAGAATTACTTGGGTAAGAAAGATGGTAGACAAAGATGAGTTTTCTTTGTTCATTTGTCAGAACCTAAATTTTATGCCACTGGGATGCCTTTAAAGTAGATAAAGATGTATTCTACATTGTGTTTTGTTCTGTTCTGTTTTTTAGTTTGTGTCTATGTTAACAAGCACGGAAATTCTGGGCCTCATCTTGATAAAAAGAAAATTCAGCAACTTCTTGATCACTTTGGACCAGGTCCTGTGAATGTAGTACTTCAGCAGGCTGTCCAAGCTTGTGTAGATTGTGCCTATCAATCAAAAATTGTCTTTGGATTCCTCAAGGCTGGGCATCATGCAGGAGAGATTATTACTGGTACATTATTTTATCTGATTTATATTTAGACTTCAACTTTGGGCATAGATTGCATTTGTGAATAACAAATCAGCAACTCTGCTTTATCTTCTGTTAAGAATGTCTATGGAGATTCTCACTCATCCAGGTCATGGTTGTCCCAAAGATGCTTTTTTTAAGGCAACTTTCTTTATTTTTCCTTGAAGTTGTTTCGTTTCTCATCCAAGAAGATTCTTGGATGAGAACTGAAACAGCTTTTTAAATGAGAACTGAAACATCTTCAAGGAAAAACAGAGAAAGTCTAGTTGTCTTTTGAAAAAGCACCTTTGGGATTCTGCTAAGAATGAATATTTTCATTTCAATGATCCCTTTAGGTTTGTGAGTCTTGATTATTTAGCTAATTGTGCCCAATTTAATATTATATGAAGCTTTTTATTTCCAGTTGGCTTTACCCTTTTATACAAAGAGGTGAAAACAAATGAGTTTTTTTCTCACTAGCATAATGTTGACATGCAGAATAATCCAGACTTCTGGCCTGTTAATTGCACGTGCGATACAATTAGTGATTCTTGTAAACTAACCACACTAAATCAATATTAAAAAAAACAGTAGGAGATAGCAGAATCAATATTTTGAAAGCCAATAAAAACTCTGTATGCTTGATAATGACAAAACCTCTAACTTCCTTTATTATTAAATGAGTTATTTATTTATTTATTTATTTAATTTATTTATTTAATTTAATTTATATGCCGCCCTTCTCCCGACGGGACTCAGGGCGGCGCACAACATACTTAAAACCAAAAAATATATACAATCCCCCCCTTAAAACCGAATTAAACCAAATTTAAAGTTGCGTCTTCCAAATTCCTAAAAAACCCAGTATAAAATCCACCCTAGGTCAGGTCCGCTTGCTGAAAGAGCCATGTCTTGAGGGCGCGACGGAAGGTAAGGAGATC